CCTTAGTAATACTGAATTTACTTTTTTTGTTTCATGGTTGTTGTGCACGATGGATGGTTTTGAAACAAACAAATAAACATGTTTCTTGGCTATCACTCTAAATGAGGGCCCGTGAGACAATTCATTTCTGTAGCAAAAGCAAGCAAACAAAAATGCATGCAACTAGAAAGTTAGCATGTCTGGAAGAGGTCTAGACTACACTCCTTTTCCTGGCCAAAGTGTTTTCACCGGTGTTATATCAAGGATTTTTACCTCATGTGAGCTCCCAACTGCAGTCTGAAAGAGTACACTCCAGACACATGTTTAACACCTTCGCCTCTCCATTAGGTTTTAGACTCCTGAGGGGCCTCAGTTGTGAGATGCTTGCCAAATGACATGACCAAACAAGTCTCCCCTGCATACACTTTCTCCAGCTGCAGCACCAAGCTGAGGTGGAAGGAAAGGGGCTGGGTCTTTAAAATGCCGTATCTTAACATGTAGCATGTTGTGAAGTAAAGAGCCTCTGAAAAAATGGATATACTAAAAGAAGTAAGACTTGCAAAGACCATGAAACAAACAGTAGGCCTGGCCTTCCAGCTGCATGATGGCTTGATGCTTATATATAGGAATGCCAGGAACAGAAGCTTCCGTATACTGAGTCAGAACCTGTCAGCAGCTTTGCAAAGTCTCAGGCTAGATGCCCTTCCTGTGACCTTCTGCTGCTTGAGTTCCTTTCCAAGCAGGGATGGGGAATCTCCAGTCCATGGCTCAGATGTGACTTGTGGTGCTGCTCAGCCCCCTTTCCTTCCTTTCCTTTGCACAGCCCTGCCCCCACCTTGCACAGCAATCAGGCTCTGTACTCAATTTTTTCCATTGTTGCCAATTAGCACCTTTTCAAAGGCCTAATTATCATGCAGGGGTGATTTGGGGTGGATCACAGATCAGAGTGTAGAGCTCGCCCAAAGACACAAGCCCCCTCCTCCACCCCAGCACTTGGTTTGAAAAGAAGCCTAGCATTGGTTCAACCCTAATTCTCATGCAGTAGACCATGGGGGGGGGGGTGCGAAGAGCTGGGAAGAGGAGGCTGATGACTCCTATGCCGGTAATCCTCCTCTTCCATTCCAGCTTTTCTTTTGCGCTATAGGAGCTAGCCATGGTGCTCCATGGAGATGGTCCAAGTTTAGGGATGAAGTTCAGCACCACAGAAAGTTTCTGTCAAACTCAAAAGTAGAGTTAGGATCCCAGGGCATGGTCTGAAGGGACATGGTCTTTGCTGAAGCAAAGCAAATCTGGTCAGACCAGTGCTTGGAGGGGACCCCTATGCTGATGCCTTCAGCTCCACAATAGAAGAAAGCTGAGATACCAGTGTAATGCATAGAGAATGGGTGTGTATGCTTGTGCCCGTGCTCTGGAAGAAAGTGGGATCAGATCACCACATCTACAAACAAGGTCCCAGATGCCAAGTCTACTCAGATGGCAGTATTGCAGAGTCTCAATGTCATCTTCAACATCACAGCCAACTTCCAGTGTGACAGATGCTGTCACATAGCAGCACTGGCCTCCTGCATTCTGCATAGGAAAAATAAGTCTTTGTGCAGAAGAATAAATGGACAAACATCTGGTATAAAGAAGGGCAGCACTGAGGAAACAGTGGAAGAATATTTCAGCCTCCTGTTAATCTGAACTGGTCATATTTCCACAAAGAAACATCAACAGCTGCAAAACTATAATTTACTGAGAAACTTAGTTCATTGAATAAATGGCTTGAAAACAGTCAATCGGAATTCTTAATCCCAAAATAATTAATTAACAAAGCAAATCTAGGATGTCTGTGTTATCACAAGTCACTTGGCCGATGTTCTTCATTTCAGATTGTACTTTTGTATTCCACTACCATTTGCAACAGTTTTTAAACTTTTGTCCTCCTCCTAAGTAAATATAATAAAACGTTCAACTGAGGATAATTATTTTAAGCATTTGATGACATAAAGTCGACTTCACAAAAGCCTATTCTATACCACATTTGCTAGTCTTTGAAGATGCCCTGCTGTTTTAACTTCAAACAGAAACCACCATTAAAGAAAAGGATAATTGAAGTGACTAATAATAATCTTGACAAATTCTAGAAGTCTTCTCTGTCGGTCTGTTGCCGCAAAACAAGTGTTTAACAACGTCTGCAGACTAAGGTTGCAATCTTGCGCACACTTTCCTGAGAGC